GAGCCACGTGAGAATCAGGCAGTGGTCAAGAACTCGTGCCGGCTCATTCAAGGATAGATCCTAACACCACACACAAGAGACTGGGGCTTCAAACGCAGCAACTCCCAGAGAGTTTGCACAATAAACCACAACATCAGCTCAACGACCCCTTCACTCATGTGTCTTAACAAGGACAACATCATTTGCAAAATGACCTTCTACAAAGGCACCAGGGAAGCAATGCCACCTGTCAGCCGCCCGACACTTGTACCGACCATCATGCTGCACAAGTGCTGCTGCCTTTGTGCCTCGTAACAAGACAGACAGGGATGAAGAGCGGGTGGAGGAGGAGAGAGGACAAGGCAAGAAAAGAGAAAGGCTCCCACGGACGTGAACCATATGCCCAAGGACCGCCACCCTACGCAGACTTCCCAGCTGCGCCTGCATTTGTGTGTGTAGCATTATCATCTCTGCACATTCTGCAAAAAGAAAAGGAGGAAGCAGAGGGGTCAGGGGAGCAGGGAGGAGGAAGAAGAAATAGATGTTTTGTTATTTTCTCTCTTCCTATTTCCATTTCTACATCCTTGCTCAAGTAGAATGAGCAGTCTGGGAACCAGAGAATCTAAGGTTCCTTTAGTAACGTTATATCATTTTGCTACTTGTCTGTAAGTTTGAAATTACTTCAAAATAAAAGGTAGATTTCTTTAATCTTATTGGATTTTTAAAAATTTCACTGAGATTAAAATCTGAGTCTTTTTTGTCCACATCCTCCAAGTATATGTTACTGATGCTAACATAGCAGCTGCTCAATACATTTTCTTTCTATTAGGAGCAAATCTCCCAGAGGCAAAAGCAAGATTTGAAATTGTTTAAATTTCAGTGCCTAGATCTAGTGCTCACTTCATTCCCTGACTTTTATGGCTTACAAATGGAGATTATAACCAGAATAGATGCCATTTTACAAGGAATCCTGTTTCAATCTCAAAGTTAAAGGCAGAAATCAATTTGAAATTGAACTATTTAAAAAGAGCAAAAACTATTTAAAAGTCATTATTCCCAAAAGGAATTAAACAGAATATATTCCTCTTAGGGAATCTTGATCTTAACAATCATAAAAAAAAAAACTATATCATACTCAAAATACTAGAAAGACTTGCATCAGTTTTGATACTGAGCTTGGGAAAGTAAATAGAATTTACTTAAACTTCAATGAGCAATAATATTAATATCAACATATTTATACTGTACAGTGCTATAATTAGATTGCAAATCACCTTCCCTCCATTACCTCATTTGAGTCAACTAGGCCTGGAATTATGACCCATCCCTACAAGCTAAGAAAATTGAGACGTCAAGATTTTCCAAGATCACCTAATTAGCAAGTGGTAGGAATAGGGCTTAAACAAAGTTCTTTTGGCACCAAGTCTGGCTAACAGCGTGACTCCTGCTTAGCTGGTAAATAACACTCTCTAGTTGCTTCACTTTCTCACAAAGTTTCCAGAACCATCCACTGTCTCAATGCTGGGACAAATCCTTTGATTTTTTGCATAAGAAAGACACTACATAGTATCCCAGTTCAGCCTCCTCATTTCAAAATGCTTCTAAGACAAAGATGTGAGGGAAGCTGGCCATTCAACTCCGGATTCATTCATTCTTAACTTTTTTTTTTTTTTACCAATTCACTTTAGGTATGCTGTCACCAGGTGGCGGGAGGATGTCATAGAAAAATACAGCTAAGGTAAAAGGCGTAAGTTTTCCCTAAGTTTCAAAAGTGATTCTGGACTCCAGCCACCTACAATGATGTCACCTGCAATCTATAAACCAGACATTTTTCACATTTTAATTAAAAGATTCATTAAAATAGCTAAACTTTAAAAAAAAAAAAGCAAAACCAAAACTTCAGCAAATTTTAAATAAAGTACAAACTTGAAATAAAGCCCTTTATACAAGCCTTTAAAAATACCCTGTGTATCTTTCTTTCATATGTACTAAATTTTCCTATAACTATTACTTCTAATTACATCTTAAACATAGGTGCTGATTAGAATATTAATCTTTATAATTCCTCCTGATTTAACTTGCTGTCAAAACTCCCAGAGTGGCTTATTCTCAAGTGGTTTGAAGTTTTAAAACCTGTAATAATTCTTTGACAAGCAGCCTCCTTTCACTTAATCCTTTAAGTCCCTCTTGGCTGTCTGAGCCAGTTAAGGCCCAACTCTTTTTCCAGTCCCAGGATTCACTGTCTACTGCCCTTTTCCCTGGATCAAAGTTTACTCTTTTCACTTGCTAATATGTACTATTCGCTGGGAGCCAGGAGGGTTCCACTACAGTTAGCATTGTCCTGGGGTAGAGCTGGAACACCCCACCCACTTCTCTTAGATGGCTTACCTAAGTCCACTGCTTTCATTTATCTTAAATGATAGCCTCTTTGTAGATTACCTGAGCAACGTGTACAAAGTAGTTTCTTCAGAAACTTAAAGGAAAATTACAGAAACATCCCTCGCAATAAAGCAAATAAAAAACCAAAAGGTCTTATAAACAAGGAGAAAGAGTAACTATCACTCTGAGTTCAACAAATTAAACTATAAACTTTATAGCTGAGATCCATATTCATAAAAGAGTCTTACACACTGTCCTATAAATTAAACTCTAACTTCAGCTAAGCAAGCTAAGCCACCTCTACTGCACGGAAACTGGTGTCACTATCTCAGGAGCACACAGGGTGGCAGCTAAGAGGGGCTCTAGATCCAGACCATCTGGCTCTAAACCCTAGCTCCATTGTTTACTTGGCTACCTTCTTTGTGCCTCAGTTTCCTCATCTGTAAAATGGAATGTTAAATTGTACCTACCCAGCATGGCTACTGTGCTCACTACATAATAAACAAGTCCATTCCACCAATGAGAACAGAGCTTGGCACACACACTTTAAAGCACTTAACAGATGATACTAAATATTATTCCTTGACCTTCCTCCACTGTTCTAACTTAATACACTTAAGTCTCAAAACTTGAAATACATGGTTGATTTATTAGCCTAAATGAATCTGCAGGCAATTTCGCTCAAATTAGATTTCAGTTGGTTGGACTGGCACACTCCAACAGCTTTTCCCAGCGCAGGCAGGACTGATGTGCCCATTTCAGAAAGCTAGGTCTGTTCATGGTTTGGAAGGGACATGCTGTTTGTGTCACAGGGTCACCTATATCATATCATAAGACACTTGGCACAGAGGTTGCTTTTCCATAGGAACAGGTGCATTTGAGTGGATCTCAACTGTATGATCTCACTCTTTGGGTCAGAAGATGAGGTTTTCCAGAGGTTTGAAGGCTGGGCTGGGTTCCTAGCACGCATGGCCTGCCATCCTAATCCACGTGCTGGGTCCCACCGACGTATTCAGGGTGTGGCAGGGGCCAGGACAGCACTGTGCAGGACATAAAATGTGAGGCTAAGGGGGAGCTTGTAAAAACAGATGTGCAGGGTGGAACTGTGAGAGCACGCCTCTGTCTCAGCCATGATCAGAACTGAGCAGCATGGACAATCCCACTCCCATGCCCGTCTTTAATATACCAGCGGAGCTGCAGCACACAGGAAAGGCGGCTATGGTTTCACTCTTCTCTTCCCCTTGCAAGCTCCTTGGCAAATGTGCTAATGAGTGGGAAAGTGTTCAAGCGCACCCAGAAGGCAAAGAAATGGAAGCAAGGATTTAGAGAATTCGTTCCAATCACTCAAATTTCTATATCCAGGTATACACTGCAAAACAACGCCTGGCAATTTCCATTATATTTTCCTCATGACATATATTGTAATTCCACAGATGCTTTACATAGATGCTTCCAAATTTAAGGAACCAGGGGAGAAGTCACAGATTGTTTTAAGAATATGATAAAAACGATAAACCCTCTGATCCCTAGAAAACCGTATATGCACATATATACTGACACTGACTACAAAGCAATCAATCACCAGTCTCCTAAGGGCTTGGCATGGTGCCCCTTGAGTGCATGGTCTCCGCTCATGAATTTCTTTCCAACTGCACTTTGTCGAGATTTTCAAAGGGCAAGGAATATAATATGGCTTTGAGTCTCCTTAATACACAGCTTTTGGGCCAAGTATTTCAAGATCAGCAAATATTTATATGAAGACAGTCTAAAAATCCTGAGAAAGACCTTTGTTTGGTCAAATACGCCATTCTTATTTTCCATATGAGGATTTACACCATACTTTATTTTGATAATTTACCTACTTCATCATTCTCTACCCCTTGGAGATAGTCTTCTATCCTAAAGGAGCATGTATTTAAAAAGAGAAGGAGGGGTGGCTATAACATGCCTGGTGGCAGGGCTTGCCATGGGGTATGGGGTGGGGACTAGAGCCAGCCAGCTGCACCTGCTGTCTGAGGAAGGGGGATGAAGTATCTCCATGGGGGACCTCACACCTGGCCACCAGGGGAGGGAGCTACTGCTCAGAACAGCCAAGTGACTAGACCCCAATTTTTAAAACTCCTTTTAAAATTAAAGCGCTACCAAGTTTATCCTCTTTCTTGGAGCAACAAAAGAACATACACTCTACTAGACCCACAAACCACAGCTGGGGAGAGGACAGAGTATGCAGGCAGAGAGCCTCATGGAAAACAAGTATGTGCTTATCCAAATGGAACTAAGCTACAAGAGAGAAAGTAATTTGGGGTGAGAGGAGGGGAAGGAAAGAATTAGAAATCAAAAAGAAGTGGCTTTCATTTGGACCTGCTGTGTGGTGTTTTGGTGTTTGTATTGCTCATGCACACCGTCCCGTGAACAGCAGCAGTCTAGGGCGTCTAGAAAAACACTTGGGACAGTGGATAAATGCAGAGAGATGCTTGTCCAGTTGCACACCAAACTAAGAGGAAGTACACTGCAACGTTCTTCACGTTCTTCCAGGTAGTGACAAAATACGTGAACCATTTTCATCCATCACAGACGCAGTTACTTAAGCTCTTTACGCTGTACGGTTATTATGAAAAACACAGGGAGGCAGCTTCACTTACATGGTTAATGAAGAGACTCTTGCGTTTTTCTCTCACTGTGAAAACAAAAGATGCAACAGAAATGTTACATGCCTGCATGCCAACCCCTCCCAGGTTGCTGAGGACTGGGCCCTGTGTCGTGGTCCCATCCTTCCACCAACCACCGTACCCCAGTTGTTCATTTACCAAATATAAGAATGTGGGACCTGCACAAATGCAGACCTGCCCTCGGCTGACAGCAGGATATACACATCCACTTAAACAGCAGCACCCTAACAAAATAACTGCAGCTGAAATCAATTAAGGGGCAATAGATTTCCAACAACTGAAGATTAATTAGTAAATCTCATAAAACTTGCCTGCATCCATTAGTTTAATAAGATTAACAAATAATAGGACTATTTATTTCTAACCCAACCAGACCCATAAATGTCCATAGTACACACGGGAAATATAAATAACAATATCCATAACAGCATTAAGGTACAGGAAGACATTTACATCTCACACTGCTGTCCGCACATGTGGCCTGCACAGCCCAGTCCCCAGTAGCCGCCCCTCCCCCACCTGTCCCCTCAGAGTGTTCCTCAGGAAAGGAGCTCTCACAGCCCCAGAGGAGCCTGTAATGTGACCTGGTATCACTGAATTCTGCATTTTCTTTCCTGAAGACTCACTTTTGTGGGTGTGACACATTTATTGAGTAGTCTCTGTAGAGGACATAAAGAATAGGCTTCCTTCAAGGAGATGACATCGTAGGTCACAGGGAGTCAATAATGCTACCTCAGGCACCCTAAAAGATAGTACGTAAATCTAGCTTTCATCTGAGGAGGGGTTTTCCCCACTGTGGTCCACACCCCCAAAACAGATTCACTGCCCTTTTTAAAAGCCCTCCAGCTGATCTCTTGGAGGCGCTCAGGAATTGTTTTCCTATCATTCCTATGCTGTTCTTAGATTCACAAGGAAACACTTCTCTTTTCTGTACAAGTCCCATCTTCTCTGGAATGACTGCTCTCCCCACCTTGCCAACGCAAAGATATTCCCAATACAAAAGCAAACAATAGTCTCAGGATGGGTGCTCACTGCTGGGTGTGTTGAGAGAGACCGACAGGCAGAAGGTGCCTACGCCAAGCCATCCGATGGACCCTTGTGCAGGGGCCACTGGCCTGCTCCTATTGCAGGACAGAAGGCGAGCGCCACATGCAGAGTGCCAGATGCCCCAGCCACACCGGAGGCCAGACCAGCACACACAGAGCTCGAGTGCGCAGGCAGCGGTGACGGGCTGCGCCTGCCATGCACAGTGTAAAGCGGGTGACTACTCCGACCTGATCCTGCACAAGTGTCCACAAGTGAACCATAACAAAAGAAAAATGAGGGTCTGGCTGGAAGTGCTGGGTTTCAGCTTACTGGCATATATTTATATGTGTGTGCGTGCACGCAAGTGCATGTGTATGGATTCATAATCACATGTGCACATGTATGTGTTTTGCTAACATTATTTCAACACTATTATGCAAGTGGCCAAGGATCAGGGTATGACATTTCTATGGTGACTTCCCACTGGCTGAAGGGATCTACAAACACCTTCTATGTGGGCCACAGAGCTGACAGAGTGTCCACTAATCCCTGTAGATAACACTTAGCTCTTCCAAGAGCATCTCAGCGACAGGTTTGTGCGACAGAGACTTTGTGTCTCCCAATCACGGGAACCACCTCCCATAATAAGGTCACCCTGACAGCTTAACAGCAGCCCCTGCCTTCAGCAGATAAAAGACATCTATGCCCCAAGAAATACTAGTGCTTCTTCCATGGGAACTATTGAGAAAATTAAGGATTATTCAAACATAGAAGAGAAGGCTGAAATGCATAACCTTCAATAGTTTTGACTGAAAGGTTTACAAAGAGAGCTTTAATACAACGGAACAAAAGCACAGTAGACAAATGGGAATATTGTAAAAATGTACATCGCCTACAAGGATCAGATTTAGGGACGAATCAGGCCATGTCCATGAACTCCAACTGGTTGCAATTAAAATGGCATAAAAACCCAACAGGTTACTAAGACTACGACAAAACACCTACGGATAAGTTGTCCAAATCTATTACAGAATCTCTTAGGCACTCACTGCTTTTATACAAATGAACACCCACATGCTATCCTATTTCCTTCAGAGCAATTGGGCCTATTGAATCCAACCTGAAACTTGGGGCTCCCAGGTCCTGAATCAGGTGCCACTTCCCTGTACTGTTTTGTAATAGCCCTCCTAGAGGGGCCTTTGCAAGATGCAGCCTGCGACTGATTTCCCTTTGGAGCACCTTCTGAGTCCCCAAAACAACGACCTGTCCCTGCATAGGAAGAATTCCTAATAGTTGTGTTTGGACTAGGTGACCCATTTCTCTGACCATACTGCCATCAGAGTGGATGGACTAATGCTCTCTCCTGGGAATTTGGAGTTCGAGCACACTCAGGGTGCTAGCTAGCTCATCACTGCTAGCGCCTTCAGCCAAGGTACAAAAGCTCAGGCATGGGGTGCGTGCCATCTCCTGCCACACAGGAAAGAGTAAACACAGATCTGACTGCCATCCTTGCAAAGCAGGCCCCTGGCTGGTATCTGGGAACTTGGATTTGGGAAGGTCCTTGCCACTCCCTCACTGTCCCTAAACTGTCTGCACAAACCGTATGGTCCATGCCGAACATCTGCTTTCCTTCTGGGAGTCTGGGATTTGGGTACATACGAGGCAGAGGTTTCCTACACGAGCAGCCCTCGATAAAACCCTTGGGCTCTGTGGCTTCAACCTTCCCTGGCTGACGACATTTCACAGATGTTGTCATGACACATCTGTGACTGGGGAGTAGAGAGCAGCCTGTGCAACCATGGAGGCTGCTCCTGGTTTTCTTAGGAACTTGCCCTTTGCCTTGTACTGATTTTGCTTCATGCCCTTGCATTGTACTAAGTTGAGGCCATGCATATGACTATATTTTGAATCCTATGATTCCCCTACTGAATCAGCAAAGCTGGAGGTGGGGCCTGAGGATCCCACATAGCTGTCATGTGGAGAAACACCAGGGAGGGGTGACAGGGAGGAGGCAGGTGCTGCCTTCGTTCCTAAGGGCCTTTAGTGCCCAGCTCCACCTAACTCATGAGGCTTCTGAGATACCCTGGTGTCCTTAAAATTAATTATGCCTTTTCCCCTAAGTTAGTCGGAGAAGGACTAAGACATTACTGTGGGGGGAGTAATAAAATAAACAGAATCTCTTATAGTAGTGTATCACCAAAAAAAACAAACAAATAAAATTAATCTATATCTGCCTTTAAAATAAATTTGAAAGTACTGAGGCTGATTAATCAGCTCTGAAATTCAAAATGCTGTAGCTATTTTGTTTTATGTAATGGTATATGCAATATGCCAACTCATTCCTAATGGGTAGCTTCAATCATTTTTAAAACTTCAATATTTTTGGTTATTAGTAACATATCAATCAAAATCTCTGGAGTTTTCTGAGTTCCTACATAATTAAGTGAACTAATAGTCATATTTTGCTTTGGTAGGAAAAACAAGCAATAAATGGATGTGGAACATAAATCTAATCTTTCCCAGGAGGAGAATAACAGCAATGTCCTCTGATCCACTTTGTGATAGTTTGTTAAGAGGATTTTTAATTGGCCATAGTAACAGTCCATAATGACTTTAACAGAAAATGTACTAGAAGCTTTAAAAACAAGCCATCTAAAATCAGCAAAAACACTGCTGATGACATTAAAAGTCTTCTCCAGATAAAATGGGGAATGAAGAGCACAGAACAGCATTTGCAATCTGGGGTACAAACAAAATTCACTTAAGTTACTATGGGACACTCACTTACCACAAAGCCACAGTATTAAAATTTCTTTACTTCTTTTTTGGTTTGTTTTCTTTTTTCTAGAGACAGGATCCTTCCTCTGTTGCCCAGGCTGGAGTGCTACAGCCTTGAACTCCTGGCTCAAGCGATCCTCCTGAGTAGCTGGGACTACAGGTACACACCACCACACCTGGCTAATTTTTGTGGGGATGGGGGTCTCACTATGTTGCGCAGGCTAGTCTCAAACTCCTGGCTTCAAGTGATCCCTACCCTGGTCTCCCAAAGTGCTAGGATTATAGGCATGAGCCACCGCACTCACCCATTGACTCTGAAAAATACAACTTTCTGGAAAAATCTAATTATTAATGAATATTTGTTAACCTGAATGCAATTTCAGCTAAACCCTTTTTACAGATAGGCATTACAAAAAATTACCTTGGTTTCTCCTCTTCCATTTCTAAGACAGACCTTTCCATGGCAAGCATGGACCACCACGAAGCTATAGGATGTTAGAACTAAGGAGGTCCTAGGATCCCATCTAATCCAACATCCTGCTGTTAAAATTGGGGAGTCAGCCTGGGCAGGTAGTGACCAAGGGTGACAGTGGAGAGGTGGGCTGCGCTGCTTCCTCTCCACCACCCGGTCTCCGGGAGCAGCACTGCTACGTGCAGGGCTCTTCTGGATCTGCATGGAATGAGTCCCACTTAAAAACAGAGTGACAATTAGAACCTGATGTGAACAGAGCTAAGCTACTCTACAGAGAAAAGTACTTAGACAATTAATTACTCTGGATATAATGGAGGGGCAGACCACACACACGGCATGCTTCAACTATAAAGAATGACAGTTTTGTTTAGAGATGTAAAACTGATTGCTGAGATAGCAGCACCAATGTACATCACAAAAATCTGGTTCAAAACAAAATCTGGTTCAAAAGAAAAGCTTTTATTTCTTTCTCTTTTCCTGTGGGTAGTGTAAATCAGGTTTTGCACGATTAAGAGTTCAATCTTAATTTTCTTACAATGAAGTTTGAGATTACCATACAACTCCCACAATTTTCATTAATTAGGTGAATTCAATCATTCACTTAATTCAAACAACTGGCGAGCCCCTGTTCGGAGTGCATACAGAGGCCCCCGCCTTGCTGCGCTCCCAGCCTGACAGGAAGCTGTGTCATGAGGACTAAGCACCAAGGCACAAAGTGCACTGTGGCAGGGA